CCCGCCCGCTCCCCCGGTCCCGCCCGGTCTCTGAGGCAGCGCCGCTGGCAGCCATAGCGGCGCGGTAGGCCATGGAGCCTCTGAGGCGTTTGTTCCTCAGAACACCGGTATTTATTAACCATAACACCTCAGGAGGAGGCCTGTTAATACGTCCAGAGTCTCTTCAGACTCCACGTTGCAGAAATCTCTGTGAAAGATTTCACAATCGGTTACCTGACTGTAGGGAGGGACTAATTTGTGCCTGGGCCCTAGCGAGTGAAATCAGTGAAGCCTTGTACTTTAACCTGGTGTTTTATCTATAGAAATGTAACCAGTAAGTAAGGACGTGTTAAGTGCTGACTACGAGATGTAAGGGAATGGCCTCAAGCCAGAGAAAACCAGCTAAAGCTGCTTGCAAAGTATGCAAGTCTTGGGCAGCTCTGTTGGCAGAATGACTTCCGTCTTGGGTTTCCATGCTGGAAAAAGCATTTCCAGGTGAAAAAAAGATACAATGAAATCACCCTGAGCCTGACTCCACATAGCCCCTGTGCAGAGAACCAGCATAACAGATATTCCACAAGATGCAGCAGAGTTAAACCCCCCCAACAGAGAACTGTGTTCTGAGACATGTTTGATTCTGGGTTACTCCTTGTAGAATAACCATCCATGGATGCTTAGACATGCTCATCAGCGAGCAGGAGGGTTGTTTGAAGAAAACATAGTGCAATAGCACACGTAAAAGTTACTTGGTTGGTTACTTGTTAAATACATCTTCTTAGGTGCGAAGGGCATGTCCTGTCTGCAAAGAGAAGGTTGTGGCTAGCCATAAGGACCAACTTCTGTTTAACAGTGAAATCTGAATACTTAGCTAACATTTTAAGTCACAGTTCATGTAAACTCTGCATACTGAAGATCTAGAAACATTCAGCTTCTGCTGAATGTGAAAAATTTCGGTGTTCTGCACCAACAATTCACTTCCAGAATTCCAGTTCCAGGCCTATAGCCATGTTCTACAATTCATTCCCAGCCTAAAGCTCATAAAGAAAGAACAAATACAACTCAGTTGATTAGTTTAATAAGTCTACCATATTACAGACTACAGCAAACCAACATCAGAACAGTCATATAGTAATTAGTGTATCAGATCTCATTGTAAGGGAGATCCCAGCAACTGAAGAAATTAAACTCAGTTTTGTTGAAATACTGCCAAAAACGGATACAGTTTAAAATTAGTGTACAGCTTCTAGCTGGTGTCAGTTTTAAAAACTAGATGTTTCTGTAGTAGACATCGCCCCATTGGAACACCTATATTATGTTTTTTCCCTTTAACTACAAGTTAGATTGTGTAATTCAAAAGAATATATAGAAATTGCTGCAGGAAAAGAGTAGATATTGCAATATACTACAATCAAGCTGTTCTATGAAGTGTTAAACCTAGTCCTTAATTCAATATTTAATGAAGCATTTAAAATGAAGACACTGATGTTTATAAGTACTAAACCAGACCAGATTTACCAACATTTTAACAAGGCAGAAACTTATAAATTCAAAAGTTTAGTGACTCAGGCAGTGAAATTTCATCTTAAGCCTTCCACATAAGTTCTAGATAGTTCCTCTCTGAAAGCTGCTATAAACAAACGCCCCTCCAACTCTCCTTAAAAAGGATCCAACCTTTAACCCCCATGTAACATCCCTGCTACTTTTTACTCTTCTACTTCAGCACTTGTTTCTTTGAGCCCATTGCTCTCTTTGTGGATAAATGCAGTGGCTTTTGATTCACATTCTCCCAGCTGTTCAAATGGATCCTGTTCACACGGATCCTGATCTTTAACAGTATCTGACAGCTTGCACAGCTTCTCCCGAATGCGTTGAGAATATCGCAAAGGGGTCACAATTTTCAGGTGTTTAGCACTGGAGTCATTTGCCTCATGCTGCATCTTCACACTTAGGAAAAGAGACAAAAAAAAATATCACTAAACATAGGCACACTGTCATACAAGTTACCTTTGTAGCATCTAGCAGAAACAGCAAGTCATAATTCTCTTTCCTATTCCCATAACCAAAGGAAACAGGAAATAAGCCCTTTCCCATTCATACAGTTAAAATCAGATGTGCAACACTCTTCTTGGGAAAAATACTTATCTGGCAAATTTTCTGATAAGATTTTCCAAAGGAAGATTTCCCCACCATTCCACTGGGGTGAAACTTCTATGAGGGATATGCAGACAGCTACCATGAGTCCAGCTTCATCAATTGCCAAAGCTGAGCACAACTTTCTTAAGCCTGCTATCTTAGGAGAAACTTTGTGGCAAGAAAGAATTTAAGTGTTACCTGTTTTGTCTTGAGGTTACTACCCTTTTTTTTTTTTGCCTTTAGGTACAATTAAGATAATCCTTACAGGACAGTTACATCTTGTTCAGTTCTGTGTTATATGGCACACATGTACGTTTGAAAAGGGGAGGACTGGAGACACCTACTTTCTCTTTACCTAGCTTGGTGTAGAAGTGCTACTGCCATGTGGGCTGTGGGAGAGGATCCTAAACCTGGAATTTATGTCTCTGCCACAAAGAGGTTTGAGTACTCTGGAGTGAGGCATTCAAAAAGCAAAACAGTTTGAGTAAATAGAAGAATTAAAAGTCTTCCTTCTGAAGGAAGAAGAAACAATCCTAAAAAACTAAGTTCTTGAGAGCTTTTTAACTGGGTGTTCACAAACGCAGCACCTCCCTGTTTCAGGAGGACACAAACAATATTGTTGCCCCAAACACCACAAACTTTCCATAGTTACCTGAAGTAATCTTACCTTTCCACGTATGGTGTGGTAGATGGATTGCATATCAAATGGGATGTGTCATTCTCCTTCTCAGGAGAATTAACTGCTTGGGCTATATCTTTTACCTCATCCTCATTTTGCTGTTCTGTTTCACTTTTTCCTCTCTTCTTTGTATGTTCTTTAGTCTTGCGCTTTTTAGACTTTTTTGGCAAGATCTCTTCTCTTAGTTTAAAGTCTAAATCCATTTCTTCTTTTTTGATCACTTCGCTGCTAATCTCTGCTTTCTTGTCATCACTTTCTGCTTCTTGGTCACCATCAGAGCCAAGATCCTTGAAGGTCACCTGAACCTGCTCTACAGATGAATTTGGTTCCTTGCTGACTTCCACTACCTCATTTAAATGAGTTTCTGTAACCGTTTCCCCTAAAACTGAAACATTGAAGAAAGTACAGCTGTGATTACTTACAACTACAGAGAATTTAATGTTTTAGAGAAAGCTCTGAAATCTTAAGGGTTTACACAAGGATGAAAGTTAAGTATGTACTGAGCCTGAGCCACAACAGTTTAAGTAGCTAATAATTTTAGTCACCTGCAAGAACCTGCAACTTGAAAACTCAGGCTAAGTACACCCTGAGAAGTCATTCTCTTCCTTCCCAAGTACAGCAGCTTTGAACAAGTAATTCAGTCAGTTTCTGGCATTAAATACTTGTCAGGTTATGTTATATTGGAGAGGAATGTACAGGATTACTTTGCTTCCAAAAACTTAGAATATTTACCACCTTTAATTAACACTCTGCCATAACACAACCATGTATCTGCTAGTAAAGGAGTTTGTGTCAGAGGCAGTGTTTTTTTTAGCTCACAAGAATGTATTTATTTACTCTTTGGTTATTAAGCTAAAATAGCTGGACAACATTGTTTTGATAGAGTTTAAGTAGAAAGCCTGAATATGAAAGCATCTCCACTACTCATTTTAACATGCCCAGAACTAAAAGGATTGCTTAGTCAAGGCTGCTTTCAAAGACAATCAAGTACAAAATGATCACAGAGAAGTTTCCATGAAATAGGATTTAATATAGGCACAAATTGTTTAAATGGTTAGTTTGTGTTGCCTGTCAAGCTAGATATTTAACTAGAATAGAGCACTCAAGACTTACCATCCTCAGACTTAAGAGAGCTTTCAGTATTTTTCACAGCATTTATTAGTGTGTGTCGGAGTTCATCTTTAGGCTGGAAAAAAGTTGTATCATTTTAGAAAAACAATTCCAAAATTGATCATCGTTTCATCTTATTTTGTATAACAGTTACAGGGAAAGTGGTACAGACCACGTGATGTTCATACTATAAACCCATTATTTAATGCTGTTCAGACACAAGTCAGAACACAAGTGAATCCTGTATTTGGTGCATTAAGGCTGGATTTGATGCCCTGAAATCTTGCTGCTATTAAATCACAAGAATTAAGTCCATCAATAAATGTGAAATTAAGTTCTGTTTTGGCTTTCTAGTGATACAAGAAGTCCTTAATTTCTTCTAGGCAGAACATCATATGGTATTTTAACGGTCCTAACATTTTCTTTTTGAAAGTACAAACCTTCTGCAGTGGTTACAAAGCAAACCAAATCAAATTTTTAATGTTCAAGTAAATCACATGGCTCTCCTACTATAAAAGGATTTATTAAAATCAGAAGTAGTTGCATTTTATGTACCATACTTTCATGCCTTTATCTTTGTTAATCTCAAACTTAAAGACCAGTTGCTCACCATTGCTCCTGCCAAAATGGCCTCCTCATATACAGCAATAAGCTTTTCAAGAGGCCCCTTCTGTTTAAGACGCATACAGCAGATCCAGTATTTTGCCAGCTTTTTAGCCCCAGGAGTGGTCAGTGTCAGGTCTTCCAGCATAGCATGTGCTTCATCGCCTCGGCATCCCTAGAGTCAACACAAGAGCAGAGATTTAAATGCAGTGAACATTGAGATGCTGTATTTTAGCTGGTTTTGAACTAGAAAGCAAGTATTTTTTTTTCCTTTCTTGGGAGAGAAACCCTGAAAGTTGACAATGGCAAGTATTTCCAAGACTGAACTATGAACTTGGGCAGAATTGTTGTTCACCTCTTCTTCCAAATGAGAATTATTTATACAGTGTTGTAAGTAGAAGGGATAGTAGAATGCATAGACATCTTCAGAACTACTTAAAAGAGACTTTTTCAGAAGACCAGGCAAGTTTCTGCAAATGCAGACTTGTTTTAGATTAATTACTTCATAGCTACTCATTACATTATAGCTTTTCTACCTCATTATGTTATGATCATTGCTTAATCTTACTGGGTGCTTCAATAAGTGAGAACTTAAGCTGCTTCAGGTGTCAGCAAAAAGCTCTGATATTGCTTTACTTGGGGAGCAGTTAGTCCCCTGCATCTGATTCACAGGTCCAGCACGCCCATAGGATTTGCATGTTGTAGGGACCTGTACGATTAGAACTCGGTAGGCAAGGGACTGAGTACCTGTTCGATTAATTGCAGACATTCTGCAAGAGTGCTTTTGACCTTTTGGCTGTTTAATACGTCCTCTAAGGAATCAGCGGAAGAGAATTCTTGTTCTTTGCTTTTAGACTGGGGTCCTAGAAGCACAGATATAGGAGGTCTCCTCATCACTTTTCCTCTAGATGCCCTCCATTCATCCAGGCGAGCTCTGCATGGAAGAATATTAGCCAAAGGGACAGATGTTTTATTATTTTTTTTACACTGACTGACAAGGGAGGGTAAACAAAAAAAAAATTAAAAAAAATCAAGTTTTTAGTAAATGTGACTTTCTACAAGGAGTTCTACAAAGGATACTAAATAACTTTTAGATTATGAATCTTTACCCCATCATACAAAGCTGCATTCACCAAGCTGAGAAGTGTCATTGACAAGTGCTCTCCTTCAGTCCATAAACATGCTCACTTCTATATACATCCTGCATCACTTTTTTTTTTTAAAGTAGTGGCATGCACATGCAAGTTTTCTTACAGGATTATCTGTCATGCTTAAGGCTGTCACAACACTTAGCCTAAAAAGAAAGGGAGCTTAAGCAATATACATTTTAAATTTACAAACACACAGGACAAGCTGTAAGCCTGAAGAGCTGCTGCAGTTAGTCTGAATCCTGATTTTTCAGCATTAAGGCTACAGTTTTACTCTGCTGCCCCTTGGGTACTCAAGTTCACTTATTTTTCAGTGCATCTACAGCAAGAAATAGATCCAAAAAAATATTATTGGAAAGAAGGTCTAAATACCTCCCAAGATCAAGCTATAACAGTGAGTAATTCAGTTACCTTCTCTCTAGTGCTGACTCTCTTGGCAGAATAGATTTTCTGGTGCTGTTAGTTCTAGACTCCCATCCCAACTTTGTAGCAGGTAAAACAGGAATTGGTTTTGCTGGAGCTTTGGATCTCGCATCTTCACATTTCTTCCCTCCTAGCGCTCTGCGATCAGAATTGTTAGAAGCAGCCTTGGGTGGCTGCAACCCTCTTCCACCCATCATTTTTTGGCCTGCTGCTTTCTTTGGCACCACAGCAGATGCCAGTTGCCATTTCTTCATGCTGGACTGTGAGTTAATAGCAGCTTTATCAGACGGTTTGCTCTGCAATGGGAGGGCACCGTTTGGTTTTACAGAATTAGGGTTGTTTGTGCCTTTGACGGTCTTCAGCACTGTGCTTGTGGACGCAGACCTTGCTGCTGGTTTGATGGCAGAAGGGAGAAGCTTCTTGTCCGTCAAAGAACTCTTTTCCCCCTCATTTCTTGGTGCTTTTCGGAAGGAGTTTATCTTGGATTGGATAACTTTGCCACGATATGTACCAAGCACTGGTTTCTTTGGTAGGCTGATACGTGAATTTTCTTTTTCTGCAATCAATTGCTTCTCTTTTATGCTTTTTATTTGCATGAAGGACTTGGTAAGTGACATGTGCTGAGATTTTACTTCAGTGACTTCATCCTTGCAAGAATGATCTTCAGGATTATAGTTTGTGCCTGATATGGAACTTGTCAGTGTGACTGTGGAAGAGTTTAAAATAACATTTTTTTCTGAGGTTCCGCTGGATTGGTCCCATGATCGTTTATTAGTATTCTCTTTATTTTCCTGAAATCAAAAGCATGTCCATGGAGATGTTAGAAGTACATTGGAAACGATTAGCATGCAGCACCAAAGAAAGACTTTCACTCATTTACAGGACTAAAGTTGATTAATAGTAAATGCCACTTTAAAAATTATCTACAGAAGTAGTATATATACACTCTCCTAAAGCAACCACTGGCTTTTAACTTCCAGAAGTCACCTTCTAAAGAAAGCCATAAAGTAGAGACTTTACCATGTATATAGTCAAAAGCAGTATCTCAGTTTGCGTACCTCAGTTTTGTATATCGCTTAATGGCAGCACCATTCTTCCACTTAATGTGGGTAGCCTACTAACACAAGGTAGTGAGTAAAGCCTTTAATTAGGGCATTAGGATATATTATCAGAAGAAGAATTTTCTTACTAATAAGTTGTCTATTCTTAATTACAGTATCCTACATGTGAGTTTTTTTATGGCCTTACTGCGGCCTGAAACTCTTAGCCATATGTTCTCTGTATAACCCTAGCCCAGAGGCCATGAAAAGTGGGACCTAATCTTTTCCTCCAAAGAAGATGCTCTGCAACAACTAGTTCAGCATTATCCAGGCAGTAGTTCTGGAAGAGTGAAAGATTCAAAGGCAGGAAAAAAAAAAAATATGTGAATGACACATGGGAGTCTGCAGAAGCAGATATTCTTCCCCTTTAAGGAAGATGCCCTTGAACAGTAAGAAAACAGCACTGTATCCCACTTTTTGGTCTCTTATTCAGGCTTAGAAGTTAGATTTAACCCAGCTAATAAACAGAGCTTGAGTACAAGGGCTGTTATTTCAGGAAGCTATGTAGTTTAAAACAAATTTAAAATAAGACAAGACATTAACACAGACCAAAATATCTCCCTTCAGGTCATTTCTAAAAAACCCCTTTGTTCTCACTGTTGGAATTTTTCCCTTTAACACCCATTTTTTAAGTTTTAAGGTTTTTGCTTTCCTTCTCAAATAATCCCAGTTCTCTCAAACCTTTCAGAACCAAAACTCAAAACCATCTAACATGAACATAGGTTTTCTGTCTAGTTTTTTTTTCCCCCTCACCTTTCCCTGAGAAAGAGTCTGGAGAAGAACCTGTATTTTGCTATTTCTAAGGAGCACAATTATGTGCATCTTAATTCTGGAAAAGTGACACAAAATTATTTAGGGAAAACATTCCCTTGAACTCTGATTAGGTATTGGCATCTATTTCTGATTACATTAGATTTACCAGCATCACAAATGAAAAACCACAAACATTCAACAGTTTTGTTAGTGGTTTGGGTGACAGATCTCCAAGAAGCTTATAATATGCAGCCACTGAATAAGTGAAATAAAGTTTTAACGTACTACATCACTGCACTGGCAAACTTCTCATACTCCGGAAGTCATATAATTTAATACAATTGAAGTGAGTGGAATGTTGTAGTCACAGAAACAGAGAACCATCAGTATTTGGTTATCAGTCAGAAACCTACCATTTCTGGCTTTGGAGATGTTGAGAGCTGTATTTTGTCTTGCAGTTTAGTGGTAGTTGCTCTCCTAGTTCTGCTACTGTTTATAAAACAAAATAAAAACGACATCTTAAATCATCCTTGCAACATAACAAAGGAATGTATTTTTAGTGTAAGTTTACATGGTCCAGGTGGCAGTCTGCAGGCTGAAGCCTTTCTGTTTGGCCTTTATTCTTCCTCCAGAATAAGTAAATGGCTGAACAACCACTGATCAGGGCCCAGGCTGCAAAACATCCCTTCTTGCACAATAAAGAGCTGGCTATTATTAGGGTAGAAAAGAGAACAGGCCCTATTTACTGCAAGTGCCATGTTTGATGTTTAAGGATGTGCACCAGTCTGTCTGGCCTGACGCATCTGCTACAGAAGGTGAAGTTTCTAAATGCTGCAGTTGAGGGGGAAGAAGGAGCAGCACAAGGAGCTGAAGCTCAACTACTGTAATCATCAGAGGTCAGGACATTTGAGGCGAGTCTAAACAAGGATACGTAGTTCCTACCACATGGACGGGTTCCAAACCCTGCAGTCAGGCACCAGAGCTGGCATCAGACTAACCAGTGAGCAAACCATCAAGACCAGTATTGTCTCCTAGCAACTATGAAAATATATTGACAGCTCAGAAGATAAACATCTCAGTTTAAAGTTACAAATCAAAATTCTTCCTCAAGTGCTTCATGATTCGTTGTACGAAACATGGCATTATGGCCTGTAACTGAAAATTAACATTTCAGTTAGCAACCCGTATTTTTCCATCAGATGATCTTCTGGAAGCTAGCCGAGTTGAAAATGAAGGTACACTAGTGAAAATAACAATAATTAGTGATTTTGAAATGCTGGAGAAAGCAGTCTGCATCATGCTATCACCTCTGTACCACCTATGATAGAGAGTAGATGTTAAGAGAACTGATCAGAAGTCATAGAATCATAGAACCATTCACATCAAAAAAGCCCTTTAAGATCATCAACCGTCAATCTAACACTGCCAAGTCCACCACTGAAAAAACGTCCCTAAGCACCACATCTACACATCTTTTAAATACCTCCAGGGATGGCAGCTTCCCTGGGCAGCCTGTTCCAGTGCTTGACAACCCTTTCAGCAAATCATAATCATCTAGGTTGGAAAAGACCCTTGGGATCATCAAGTCCAACCATCTACCCTCCTCTACAAAGTTCTTCCCTACATGATATCCCCCAACACCACATCTAATGACTCTTAAACTCATCCAAGCATGGTAAGTCAACCACCTCCCTGCGCAGCCTGTTCCAGTGTCTGACCAGTCTTTCTGTGAAGAATTTTTTCCTAATGTCCAGTCTAAACCTACCCTATTGCAGCTTGAATCCATTCGCTCTTGTTCTATCGCTAATTGCTTGTGAGAAGAGACAAACACCAACCTCTCTACAGTGTCCTTTCAAATAGTTGTAGTGAGTGATGAGGTCACCCCTCAGTCTCCTCTTCCTCAAACTAAACAGTCCCAGCTCCCTCAATCGTTCCTCATATGATTTATTCTCCAGGCCCTTCACCAGCTTCATTACCTTCCTCTGCACCCACTCCAGAACCTCGATATCGCTCTTGTATTGCGTTGCCCGAAAAAGAAGTTTTTCCTAACATCCAATCTAAACCTTCCCTGGCACAACTTGAGACCATTTCCTCTCATCCTATCACTTGTTCCTTGGAAAAAGAAACTGACATCCAACTGGCTACAACCTCCTTTCAGGCAGTCAGTGTGGAACAGCTATAGCTTCACAATAGGGAAGTGTCTGCAAAATAAAGCATTAGTCATACCCACATACATGATGGCTCTAAACAATGAGTTAATTGAAGACTATGAAAAGCCCTGGAATTTAATAGTTGGAGAAAAACTGAAAACAGTTTTTGTTTTCAGTTACAGTAGGAAAAGTGAAGTAGATCAAATGCTAAATTAAGAGTATTGCTACAATGGAAGTAGTTGGTGCTGGCTTTCTAACACAACATAACCTCCTACAACATGAAAGCACTTGCCTTTTCCCTCTACACAGAGCCAAGTCTTTGACAGATTACACTTATCCTTGTCATTTATGCATATTTTGTATTCAAAGGTTGTTGTTCAGTTAGATTTGCACTACCAAGTAGTTGTGTGCTGTTAAACATGGGACTATGCCACCATGAGTATACAAAATGGTAAGCAAGACTTCCCATTTAGACAGGGCCAAATTTCAGACTGAAATTTACCATGTGCAAAATCATTAAAATAAGCGACAAAGCTACACCATGAACTAATGTTAGAGCCTCTGTGCTCCTTTGCACCACTGTCTTCTCTAGAGAAACTTTTGTTGCTTATTGGAAGGTCTTACACTAAATTGTCCAGACTTGAGACAACAGCAGGAAGAAGTCAATAAAAAGAACTACTAATTGGTGATAGGTGCCCACATTTTGCTTACAGAACATCATGTCTACCTGCTGGCCATCACACAAGCTGGATTTAGCAGAAAATAGTGAAGTAGTACCTATAAAAATACGATGAAGCTAGATCAAGTGGATGGTGAACACATGCAACATAGCCTGAGTACAAAGAGGGGAAAAAAAAGTTATTTACAGAAGGAAGGTTATAGAGGCAAACAGCTAAGCAACATTTGAAATGAGAGCTCTGCCATGAAGCTATCCTGTCCTGTCATGGTCTCTAGGGGAATAGATAACACACTTCATGAATTGCATCTGTTGTATATTTGTGTAACAAAAACTTTCAGTACTTGCTCACAATAAAAGGACTTTAGGAAATCCATGTGGTCACCAGCCTCGTTGCATGGTCTCACGTTTCAGTTGGGGTTCTCTTCCAGAACTGCTATTTATGTCTTTCCTACCAACCATGGACCTTTCTAAAGGAATGTAAACCATTGCAGAAATACTACCTGATCAATCCCTCGTTTTCTTGAATGGGCACGCCAGAAAAGGTCTTTTTTCTTGATAGATATTCTTCAACTTTTTGTCGCCTTTGTTCTAATGGGTTTGAAAAAAAATAAAAATCAGACTTACTACATTTTCAGTTGAAATAGTAATGCCAGACAAACTCTGTCGCTTTGAAAAAATGAAGCGCAATTAGAAAAGCATCAAAACATTATAAAACAGACACTGTGGATTAAGAACATCTTTAATATTCACATCTTGTGTCTTATACAGTTTTTAATTTCCTAAGAAAGGGTATATTGAAGGGGGAGTTGAATGTGATTTCACAGCTATACAAGATGGCTGTCTTGCTGCATTAAGCTAAAAAAACACAACTCTGTGATCTGAAGAAATCGGGCTCCTCCTTTTACCTTCTAGATGCCTGCCCAGTATTTCACATACTTAATATTGGTTCAGCGAGCACCAACTTTTCACTTGTGACAGTAGCGAGATGAGTATAGCACTCATGAAAAAACACCGTGCACATAAACCCAACTGACCATCTGTGAAATCATTCGCTTCTCTTCTGTTGTCAGCTGGGCTTTGGCGCAAATGTTGGACCAATGGGAGTGCTAATAACAGCAGAAAATGATCCTAAGGTCTTAACCCAGCTGTCACTGCATTAATACAGAAAAGTCAATCCCAGAACAGGATACTACTTCCCATGTTTTTGCTGCTTGACTGCACACCAGAGAGTTATGTCCTTCATAGGACCATGTATTTTTCAGAGACCTTTCCTTATTCCCATAGGGAGCTAGTGATCTTTGCTTGCTGGCAGCAGCTGGGTTAAGATGGTCCTGCAACCCAAAGCAAGCTCAAGCATCCACACTGTCAGGCTCCAAGTCTTACAATTGTTTCACGTGCAGTGGGTTGTGAGAACAAGGAGTTAAGTCATTATCTTTGACTCAGAAGAACAATCCCTTTATGGTGTTCAGGAACTCATGGCATTGTACTATCCACCATCATAGACAGGCTCATTCAACAGTGGAAGTCTTCAATGACCTCACACATGAAACCCAAGTTCTGCCCCTCCTAGGCAGGCATGAGCCCCCTTTTGAATCTGTTTGCACCTGTTCCTTATCTTTCATATTTTGTCTTGCCCACTGTTCATGATTCACGCTTCAGAAATCTTTGCAAGGTCAGTCAACATGTCCCCTCAATGGTGAGATACTCCTGTATTACTGAAGTTCAGATAGTAGAAATTGCTAGAATATTATTCCCTTTGAGGACCTGAATGTCAATTCTGAAAAGAAGCAGGCACTTGGTTGCACAGTAGAAAGTTATCATCCCACAGAATGGGGTAATTACCCTCAGAACCTCCTCCTAGTCCTATAGGAGAGCTGAAAAAGGTCAGTTCTCTCTCACGCACTGACCCACCAAAGCCTGAACCCACAGCCAGCAGAACTGATGCAGACTTAGGCTTGGGGCAATACTGCATTTCGCTTAGGATATAGTGCTTTTTTAGCACAGCTTTCCAAGCCCAAGCCGAAGGAAGCCGGAGGGGCAGCGTAGACCACCACCTGCTTCTGAAGAGGGGTACACCAGAGGTCTGCCTGCCCAGCAGCGAGCATCCCGCAGCTTCCCCCGCACCTTCTGCTCCGGTCACTCGGCTCTCGCCGGCTCCAGACAGCCAAGCGATGCGGTTCGTTTACCTTGCAGAAGCCAAACGGGGCAGAAAGTGATAAACGGAGAGGGTGCAGGTCTTAGATGGCAGCATTTGCGTGTTTCAAGAGGATGCGCTTTCTAAGGCTTTCTCTCCAGAAGCCCTGCCTGGGGTGAGGACCGAGGGCGCAGGGGGGGGTCGTTGTGGGGAGAACCGGCCCCAGCCCTGCCCTGGGGGCTATGAAGCCTCATCGACCCGCTCGCACCGGTCCAAGGCCACGGCGGCGGGCGCTGCCGCCAAAACCCCACCTCAGGCGGTGCCCTCCTCTCCCGCTTCCCGAGGAGAGCGACCGGCTCCTCCGCTACCCACCCACGGCCTCACCCCGCGCCGCCGGCAGCGGAGGACGCTTCAGCCCCTCGAGGCTGCCTTACCTCGGTAGGTGGGCTCGGACCTGCGGCTGGCCGGGAGCTGCGGAGGAGAAGGCGCCGCCATGGTCGCCCAGCCAACAAAAAGGGTGGCGAGGGCCGTTTGAATCACCCGCCGCGGGACTTGAACTGGCCAATGGCGAGCGGGAGGGCGGGGCCGGGCCGGCTGCTCGGGCGGGCGTCAGGCGGGCGTCAGGCGGCGGCAAGATGGCGGCCGCTCCTCAGGTCGCCGCTAGAGGGCGCGGGGCGACCGCGGGTATGGGGCTGACTCGCCCGGCGGCTGCGGGAGGGGAGTGGCGGCTGCGGCCTGGTCTGCCCGGCAGCGGAGCAGGAGGGGAAGGGGCCGCGCCATGGACCGGTTCGTCTGGACCAGCGGGTTGCTGGAGCTGGGGGAGACCCTGGTGGTCCAGCAGCGCGGCGTGCGGCTCAGCGACGGGGAGGAGAAGGTGAGGGGAGCGGCCCCGCGCGGGGCCTGGCGGCCCGGGGGAGGCCGGGGCATGGGGGAAAGGGCAGGGCCGTGGGCCCCAGCCAAGGCGGGGGCGGCAGGGGACGTGGCTGTGGGTGTCATCGGGAGAGGGGGGCCCAGAGGAGGGGGGTGAGGGGGCCGGGGCTGCCGGCGGAAGGTCGGGCGGGGGCGTGGAGGTTTGGCTCCAGGGCCAGGCAGGGTTTGGCTCTGTGAGGGGGATCGTTAGGGAGCAGATGGAGGCTTTGAGGGACCGAGGAAGGCCTTGAATGGTGCCTGCCCCCCAATGGGAGGGTTGACATCCCCACAGGGCTCCTCTAGCTGGTGTCCCTGCCGTGAAACTTGAAGTCCAGTGCTCGGGCTGTCGCCGTCTTCCTGTGACAGGGCCTAGGCTTCCCCCCATGTTGCCCCTCTCAGCAAGGTGTCCTCTTTGGCTTGGGTGCCACGTTCAGGGTGTGCCGTACAGTCCACACTTGAGTCATCCCGATACCCATAACATGTTCTTGAGCTCTGGCTGCCATGAAGGGGGCTCTCTTGCCCCCTGCTCTCATCGCAGCCCGCTCAGTTATTGTTTTGCATCACGGCTGGAGTTAACTCGTGATCTCTCCTCCTTTTTCCTCACCAGAGTAGGTGCATCCCATGATAAAAAGCTGTAAGAATGTGCCTCCAGTTTTACAAGTAGGAAGCAATTTGATAACGCAGATTTTCCCAAATACTGGTGGCTGTCTTGATAAAGGACTTTTCAACAATAAAATGCATAGAAGCAGTACTCCTCTGTGATAGGCCAGTAGGTTTCAGACTCTGTGTAGCATCTTCCTATTAGGTTTGCTTTGCTTTTTTGCATAACTTTTACTTTCTTTGTCAGCAAATAGTGTTCCAAAGCCAACAGCCCTGTTTAAAATATGATATTTAGGAATGTTTGTGTATCTTGCACAGCATATGGAGGGAGGATCCTTCAGGATTTCCTGGGGGAAAGTTTATACAGTTGAAAAAGGAAATTTGTGTTTGTCCATCTAATCTTTTTAAACTAATTTTCTCCATTGTTCTTCAATTATTATGTTTTCTGAAAAAAGAGTGTTATCAAAATAGTGGCTTGTTGAATCTGATTGCTATGTTGTAGCAAACATTATGTAATGTTTCCAAGATAAGTATTTATGCAATTTACTGGTTAAATTGATTGTTGATCTATTTTATTTTTCCTGTTTAGGTGAAATTCGACAGTGGAGTATTACTGCTTAGCACACACAGGCTGATCTGGAGGGACCAGAAGAATCATGTAAGTCCCACTTTTGTCTCTGTTATGTCATTCAATTGTAAATTCCATAATAAACAACAGGTAGCTTGCAATGAAAAGACTGCATATGGAGGGGAGATCTTTCTTTGCTTTGTGTGTGTTTTGTTTTACAAGTATAGTCCATTTTTTGGCTCACAGCGGAAAATAAATTATGTACGGGAATGTTCTTTCACCCAATTCTGCTTTAATAAAATAGTCATGTAGAGGTGAGAAGGTATGGGAATGAATCATATACATTTTCCTTTTCTACAGTACAAAATAGAGGAGGAAAGAGTCTGATATCATGCACTAAGAAACTTTGGTTTTGAGAATGAAGTTGAATGGGTCAGGCAAATCATAATGTGAACTTCTCCCCCATGCTCCTTGTCTGGCAAGAGCTTTTCTTCCTTATTGTTTTCAAGTCCAAGTTTCCCTGTCTTCTGTTCCCACTATATAGTCACAGACCATGACTTGATAATTTTGTGTTTTACCTTCACAACTGCCTGTTCTTGTGCTGAACCATCCCTTCAATAAATGAGAACATTCGTCTGTACTGCCGTGGAGAATTAACTCGGAATTTAAGTGGCAGTGGCAGAACTGCACTGTAATACTGCTGCTGAATGCTTTGTAGCATCAAGCCACAGACTGCAGGCTAAAAATGGGTAAGAACACATACAAAGCTCTAAGCGTAGACTGTGGCAACATGCACCATTTTGCAGCTGCAATCGGAGGAGACGTCCTCTTCAGAACCAGGTTGTGTTGTGATTGCTTTAGAAACAATCTTTTAGAAATTTAGCCCTGGAAGCCAAAGTTTAGACAGAGCATGTTCAGTTGATGACGTTTCAAAAGCATTTTGTATTCCACTGGACTACTTCTGTGTAAGAATAGCTGAAGCACCTCTTGCACCCAAGGGCCATTCCCTACCAAATATCACATCTTTGCTCCAAAGCAGGGAGCTACTAAGAGCCTTCTAAAGGTAAGGTCACCAAGGATGTTCTTTATTTGGCAAAGCAATATATTCTTTCCTTAGGAATTGTTTGCAGGAACAGCAGAACTATTTTTGGTACAAATTTTTCAAAATGTTTTGAGAGCTGGTCCCCAGGGTGGGGTTACTGTTAAACAAGACAGGGGTTGATAGTCCAGACCATGAGCTTTTTTTTTGGCAGAGTTGGTGTGAGATAATTTATCTGTGCTAAACTGCCTGTGTAAATCACTTCTTATTTCTTCATCAGCATCTCTTCTTGACAGGTGAGCATGTACCACAATGTGCGCTGCTTCTAATCTTCTTTCTTGGACTTTCTATTTGCTTGGAGTAACATTGCATGTTATGGCTTCAGCAAGTCTAACAACTTTCCCTATTCTCTCCTTCCCAACAAAAGGATGACATTTATCTCTTGTCCCCTACTTCTCCCTCTGCTCCTAAGCCACATGGTTCATTGTTCTCTTCCAAGATCATTGAATTTGCTAAATCAGCAAAGAAGAAGCTTGGACAATAAGAAAATAGTTTTCTTTTAACAATTTAACTCAGCAAAGATCCTGACAAGCTCCAGGCTTGATGAAGAGAAGATGCAGAAACATGGCTAGGAGATAAGCAAAAATTACCCAATTCTGATCTAATACAGAGCAGGTCTGCTTCAGCAGAGCCAGGTTTGGTTTTTTATTTTAAGTCTATGGTATACAAATAACTTTGTTAGTGTGATAAATGAAGCTGGTTCTTTCTCAAGCTCTTCGGATGGAAGCATGGGGAGCACAATGTCTTTTTATTTTTAAGGTGAGTTGTTGGCTGAGCTCAGCCTTAGAAACCTTAGCAAGCTTACCTAGAATACACTTGTCGACAGTTCCCTTTTACAGTGTCGGCAACCTTTAGTAATGAAAGAGCCACTTGTTAGGTTAACATAGCAAACCTTTTTACAAAAGCAGACAGTTGTCTTTATACCTGCTGTTGTTACATACCCGCTCAATTGAACCGTATAGAAAATGCAATTATTTCCAAAGGAAAAAATATGTAATTCTTTTAGAGTTTGTTACATAGCTAGATTTGTACAATATTTAAAATCTTAAAATGTGAACATGGGACATTAGAAGAAATACTCAAATGAATTTTGATTTCATATACCCACAGCATTACCCACATGCTTATCTCTATTTGTATTACTTCCTCTTGCTTCTCTTACCAGAAGGGGCTGATTCAAAGTCCTTGGGCTTACAACAGCTTCATAACTTTTTAGCTGTGAACTAAATTAATTAATCATTTTGACAATGTACATTCTATATGTAGTTGGGCTTTTTTGTAATTTTCAAAAACTTTTTTTTTTTTTTTCCCTAACAGAAGCATTGTTTTTCCTTTATTTTAAGTGCTCAGAGCTATGTCAGTTTTACAGTACGGTTACAAACAGTAACAGTCCTATACACCAGCTGTAAAATCTGGGACCATAGAAGGCTCTAAATAATTTGTATTAAGAATTTGTAGAACAGGAAGTACAACCCATTTTTTTCCCAATGAGAAAGTTACTCATTAGTCAGAGTTCCTGCAGGTATACTTCCCTAATCTCCAATTTAGTGAGTGTTTAATCATTTCATGCAAAGAGGAACAATTTTGGTAGCAGGGATTGAGAGGGCCCAGTAACAGTGTTCACTATAACCTGGTGTTTGGCACAACCTCGTGGCAGGTGGAAGAGGGAGGTTCAAAGAGGAACTGTGATCCCTGTTTCCTGTGTTCTGGGTGACTGTGTGTGGAAGAGGACGTTCACCAAAGGACAATCACCAAAACAAGACCAGGCACCTAATTAGATGCTGTGAATTGCTCCCTTGGGCAATTCCTGTCTCAAATGCATATAGAAAGAGTTTGGCCTGGGTAGCTTAGTCTCCCACAGAGGGGCACAGTTTTTTTTCTTGCTCTGCTTTGTTTTGTCTAAAGCACAGTGCAATAGATGCGTGTTGAGATGTACCAACTACTGGTTTAAGTCCATGTGTGTGGGATACATGTAGAAATTTCTATTTGGTGTTTGGATAGGCTCAACTTGGATAGTTTGGATATATCCTTTAGATGGATCTCAAAGGATAGTCTAATTTTTTAGATGTTCAGGATTTAGAAGACTGGTGTTTTTGAATATTGTTTTAGCTCCCAAAGTAACATCAGTGCAAAAATTTTAGGAACATGTGAGCGTTGTGCACCTACAGGGTTAAGCTGCAGTAGTGCGGGAATTTTAGTGTTTAAATTCTGAGTTTAGATACTGAAGATTTGTTAAATTCTGGAGTCATTCTATGAATCTAGTTTGATGTGTTGACACAATGACATTTAAATTTGTTTTTTGATTACCTAGAACACAGTTTCAAGTTTGCATTAAGTTTTTTATTTGTATTTCTCTTTAATAGGTTGCTTCTATTGTAACCATTGTATTTCACACCCAGTGCCTCGGGCAGCACCTGTAGAAATCCGTACTGTTTGTGAAATGGGCGAAGAGAACACTTGGTTTTAGAGAACACCTAGTCAGGATACAGCTTTAATTTCCCTTGTGTTTGTGTTGATGATTCCAGGAGTGCTGCATTGCTATCCCTCTGTCTCAGATCGTCTTTATAGAAGAGCAAGCAGCTGGGATAGGAAAAAGGTAAGGTGATAGTCATGGTCTTTTTCAGATGGATAGTTTGCACATGCACCTTATGTGAGGTACTGAAGATGATATATCATCTCATGGTGGGTTCCATTTATAATCCAGTTTCCAGACTGACTGCCACTAGGACCTGCCTTCCTCACTTGAGATAAAATGTGTGAGAGAATCAAAATAACTGTCTTGTAATCACTGAACAAATATGTGTCGTACCTTGCCATTTTTATTTGCTTAGTCATAGATGACAACAATGATTTTGCTGTGTCTACATTTGAAAGCTAATTTTAGTCTTTTGTGCCACAGAACTTGTTGGGGATAGAAACTCTGCCAGATCCCGTATTATATAACTTTTCATGACCATATGATTAATTTTGAGCATGGAAACGCTAGTGATAGTTAAAAGGAACTCAAGCGTTTCCACTCACTTGCATAACTAATTCAGTATGGTATGTGTACAAAGAAATTTCACAAGATAAAGAGAGAACAATATTAACTAGAGGAATAATGTAGTCGCCATCTGCTTGCAAAGCCTGCGATCAGATGGGTGAGGTAATATGCTGGGGGTATCCAGAAGAAATCAGGAAATTCACTAGTGCTGGAGAAGTCAAGTAAATAAAGATCCATTAAAAAAGTATCAGTAAAATGAAATGGGAACAGCAGACTTGCAGTCGTGCTGTGATATCAGTCTGTTGTGTTCCTAAAATAATGCTATCTCAAGGTTTGTTTTGGTGGTAGGTGTCATTTTAGACTGTTATTTCCACGCATGTTACCTTTTAATGTTGGTTTTGGATAAATTCACATACAGTGTTCACAAGCAACATATACAAGTGGGATAGATTAAACATAATATTGAGACCTTTTGTTTTCCTGTGACAAAGATAGTGTATTTTGGCAGTAGGCAGCTTTGGCTGCTTTGGCAGCAAGTCAAAAGCCAAATCAAATGACTACTTGATGATCAGTTTTTATCTTAACTGAAACATTTTTCAGAAATTACTGCTTGAAATGTTAAAATAATTATGTTTATTTCTTAAGAATTGAATTGGTGGTCTGTACATTTTAAATTGGTGAGATGTAGCTGTTTTAGAGACTATAGCAGTTTTTCTGCAAGATATTGTATTGAGTAAAAATACTTAAATGTTGATAAACAAACTTAAAGCATTATTTGATGTACTTTAGCTCTTATGTGAGATAAAGTTAACAGAGGTTTTGATTAAATGGCTAACTTTGGCTAAGAAATACTTTTTTTAGATATTACAGAAAGCTGCCTCTTTTTCCTTTTTCTCAGTGCCAAAATAGTAGTTCATCTTCATCCTGCGTCTTCAAACAAAGAGCCTGGTCCATTCCAAAGCAGCAAATATTCCTACATCAAACTTTCTTTCAAAGAACATGGGCAAATTGAGGTAAGTTTTGTACCATGCAAGGCCAGCACATCAGATTTTTGGACATGCTTTTTTCCTCTTGCTGCTTAGTGATAATTTTCCATGATCTTTCCATGTTTACTTTTGAGGTGGAGCTTTTTCAATACATCCTTTTTGAAGACAAACACTATGAGCCTTCAGTGTTCTATGCTTTGGTTAAATAATGCAAATAGAGTTCCAGAAATGTCAAGAGGCGTTATTAAGCTTTGTTCTTATTTTAGTAGATGTAATATAATCTTATACTTTCTTTTTTAATCTATAAATTGAACACAGGATTTTCCAAAATGAAGTCTTTGAAATCTGTTAAATGTTTAACAGAGTAAAAGGTGTTTCTTTGTAGCTAACCCTCTACTGAACAGGAATCAAACAACTTCTTCCTAATCATCTCTCTAATTTTATTGGTGAACAGTTTTTGTTGCCTCGGGGCTTTGTTTCATTTTATGCTTTATAAATATTTATTGTTTTTATGTATACCAAATCTCAAAGGTCTTGAGCATTCTAAAAAAAACCAAACCTAATATATTTTTAAAAGAATGCTTATCCTAAAAAACAAAGAAATTGCACTCTGTAAAGACACTTCACAGTAAGATCCTCACTTGAAGAGACTGAGAACTCTAACTTTGAACAATGAAAAAAGCCATACCTGTTCACTGCAGAAAATCAGATTTTCAACTTGAATTAGTTATAAATGCATGTGCTGAATGAGACTCACTTTCATTTCTTTGTGAGCGGTTTTCAGCTCAGGATGCCTGTAGATTTATGCCTACTTACACTTGTATAGCTGTTTTGCCTAATCGTAGCCTTCTTTATTTTAATGTTAATGTTTGTGTCTGAAAATCAAACTTACAGTGCTTTCTGGTTGCCTAGCCTATCAGTTGCACTCCACATCTTTTATTTATGACTTCAGAATGCTTTCCTATGAACTCTGAACAGCCATAAGAATGGAATAGATTTTGTTTCTGGATTTTGGTCAGTCCAATATACTTAAGTGTTAACTAATTAACTAATGCCACCTTCTGGTATTAGCAATAAACAAATAAGTGTAATTCATCTGTGTGGTTGTCTTTATATTGTTGAATTAACAGATCAGTAGTAATTGGACTGATCAATGTTCCTTCCTTTTAAGGAAGGATCAATGTTCCTTCCTTTTAAAAACATGCATTTGAGCAAACCTCAACATTTTTAACTTTAGCATGTCTTGGAACATTTTGAATATCTGTCACTCTTTACTGCTTGCAGTTCTACAGACGATTATCAGAAGAAATGACACAAAGGAGATGGGAGACCATGCCTACTGGTCAGACTCTTCAAGTTAACAAGGATCCACGGGTATGTGTAGAGCATCTGAGCAGAATCCGTATGTAATCTCATTTCCACTTCTTGCTGCCCTTACATCCTGCATCTGACACGCCTCTCTAACCAACATGGTTGGCACATGGGAATTCAGCTTTACTTTGCCTGTTTCTCCACTGGCATGTATGAGTTTCTCCTTTGCAGTTTTCACCTGATACAGAGCACTGTAGCCTTCTCTACCCTATTTCAGTTCAAAACCATTACTCCTTGTCCTGTTGCTACACTCCCTGATGAAGAGTCCCTCCCCATCTCTCCTGTAGGCCCCCTTTAGATACTGGAAGGCCATTATAAGGTCTCCCTGGAGCCCTCTGTTCTCCAGGCTGAACAGCCCCAGCTGTCTCAGCCTGTCCTCATAGGAGAGGTGCTCCAGCCTTCTGATCCTTTTTACAGCCCTTCTCAGGGGTTTCACAAGAGCAGAGGGGCAGAATCACCTCCCTGGACCTGCTGGCTACACTTCCTATGATGCAGCCCAGGATGCAGTTGGCTTCCTGGGCTGCAAGCACACATTGCTGATTCATGTTTTGCTTCTCATCAACCGACACCCCCAAGTCCTTCTCCTCAGGGCTGTTCTCAATCCATTCTCTGCCCAGCCTGTATTTGTGCTTGGGATGGCGCAGACCCACATGCAGGACCTTGCACTTGGTCTGGTTGACCTTCATGAGTTTCGTACACGCCCGCCTCTGAAGCCTGTCCAGGTCTCTCTGGATGGCATCCTTTCCCTCCAGCACGTTGACTGCTACACGGGGCTTAGTGTCATCTAATATATGTCAAATATATTAATATATTGAACATATAGTACTATATGAATGAAATAGGATGATTTAAGGATTGTTCAATGTCAAATCACTTGTGCTCCATTGTAAATGTAGTACCTATAAACATAGTTGCATTTGGACTAATGGGGAAGCCTGTACCCTGCATCAAGAATCACTTAATGAAAATGCCTTACCTCCTGTTCTTACTCTTAAGTCCTAGCAAATCATTAGCACTGGTGTTAAGCTTTGCAATCAGAGATTTGAGGGCTGGCACTTCTGCCACTTTGGTACCAGCCTTTCTAAAACACGTTTGGCATCAAATGAGAAATTGACCATCCAAATTGACCAGAGGTATCCATTCTGATACCTCCCAGCAAGGTAAATTAGGCTGTGTTTAGCATCGTGTTTCTGTGGCTGTGTTTCTTCAGGCTGGATTTCTTGAGGTAATTGTGTTTTGGTGCACTCACACATTTCCACAGCTCTAGTATAGATGTTCACATGGACTCGGGAGGCTTTAATTGAGATGATGGACTGCTCAGTCTGGATCAGGCTATTAAGCATCTTCGTATTAATAACTTCAATATAGTAATCTTATAATCTGTGTACTACAGCAAATTTATGCATGCTTTACACTTACTGTTTATTTTCTTATGCTGGTTTAAAAAATACTTTCCAGAAATACATGAAATATTGTAGGCGTGATACCAGCTCTTTGCAGGATCGTTTCCTGTCTTCTAATATAAGTTTTTTCACATTGAGGCGGATGAGAAACCTTAGCATTTCCTATTTTGATTCCTTTCATTATTTTCTTTTGCAGGCAGGAAGAATAAGGGCTGTAGGAATTGTGGGGATCGAAAGGAAATTAGAGGAAAAAAGAAAAGAGACTGACAAAAACATTTCCGAGGTAAATACTACTGAAGTTTCAAGGTCAACCACCTGTCTGAGCCATTTACATTCATTCACTCTTTCTTTTAGGGGCAGCTGAGACTATTTATTGTTTTTATTGAGAAGTCTGAATTGATTAAGAGAGTATAATTTCCAGTTATTTACTTTGTTTAACTGGCTTTTCAATATATATAAAGGAACCTCATTAAGACTGTTCCTTTCAAGAAGACTGTTCTTTGAAACTAATGGTGTGTATTTATAAAATTAATTTTGGTAGAATTAGAAATCTGAGTTCAGTGACTTTATCTCAGGGGAAGCAGAACACAAAGGCATCTGCAGAAAAAGACTATTACAAGTTTTCAGTTTTTTCCTTATGTTTTTTTTACAGCTAATTTTGGTTTCAACTGAAAATTGTATATATATGAAGAAAAATACGCTGATCCAAGTGTCTCCTTGTAACTGTGGTAAAGCTAGGTTTTCAGCTTATAAATACTCCATTTTTAAATGTTAGATTTAGGCTTACAATTACAGTAAAACGTTCTGCAGTGCAGGCATCAGCAAGATGTTACAAGTATTTTTGCAGAGTCCGTGAGCTAGGTGGAGACCATCCTTTTCCCTAGAAGCGGCACAATAGTTGAATTCCAGATAACAATACTGATGGACAACAGAGGCAATTAATTTCTTCATATATACCTGGGAGCAATATTGTCAAAAATAGGCTGATTCTGTCTTGGTAGGAGAGGTTAATACAGAGGTACTCGTAAACTACATGCAACAGATTCTTTCTTGTAGCAAAGAACGAATGGGATTCAGTGTGCCACAATAAAAAAGGCATTCACTGGTACGTAAGAAAATTATAGTACCTTTGGAGGCCACAGGCTGTTTCAGATACTGGTAGCATTAAACTTTTTCCTTTCTGTTTATGAAGAACGTAATGAATGAAGTTCTGTGCGTGGTTCAAAAGGTATTGTGGTTACATGCGTGTGTATACAGTTCAAAAGGTATTGTCTGGTTATTTTTTCCTTTAGTAGCTTTGTCAGAGAGTAAAAGAAATCCATTTATACGTGTTGTATGAGCGGAGGAAAACCATGACTTGCCTTCCTCCAGCTTTAAATGTTATAAATGACTTAATTTAAAAAATGGTGCCCTGGCTTCCAGGAAAAGGCTTCCTGCATCTGCTGTTCCCTGCTGATAAGCATCCAGTTCTTTAGCCTTTTGTTTATCTGAGGAAGTTCCTGTTAGGTGTGTGCACATTCCCCTTTGTTTCCAGGCCTGCCCTCTGTGAGTCAGGCAGAGGAGGAGTTAGACACAGCCTGCTGTTTATTTAGCTAAATCAAGGGTTCTTTTGATGAATGATGTTTTCATGCAGGTTATAGAGATTAGAAATAAGCTGGGAAAAACCTTGTTAGAAGACTTTTTGTTGATGTCATATACGAGTACAGTAGAAGGACTTTGATTTATACTAGAGATTGGGAAATACTTTGCAAATTACTGAATTTGGCAGATTAGATAGTAAGAAGAAATACTTCAAAGAGAAGCTTTTGTTCTGATAGTGGTAGATTATTGTTACAGGGTGGTATATTTTCTTTTTGCCCATTGGACCTAGCTTTGTCCCACGTAATTTTGGATACCGAATTTAGGTACCAAGTGTTAAGAGGCTGAAACACTGGAGAAACACTGGCGCAATTAGGAGGGATTCAGACGAAAAGCCAACCCTGTCCCTTCTTGGGGGCAGCTCCTTCTCTTCTTTGCATGTTGAATCTCAGACCAATAAGCTTCTAAGTAAGGCAGAATGTAGATGGGAGCAATTGGATCTTCCTGCTTAAATTCTGCCAAAATGTGTCTTTCTACTGGGAGATGAGTCAGAATAAGCTAGGAACCACATAGAAGCCGTGACTAGAAGCTGTAGGCAAGATGTATCTCTGGTCATTGGACATACTCTAACTGAACAACCTTCTCTACTTGTGGCTGGAGGGGCTGGGTGCTGCTGTCAGGCAAGCTTTAGTTGAAAAGTTCTGAAATTTTTCTCACACTGGTTGTTCCAAAAAGGTGGTTTGAATAGGTTGACCACCTGGGGCTGCCAACATGTATTTGAGAGAAACGGGGGAGAAAGGCTGAATGGGTGTTGCTGAGGATGGGAGAAGTGAGAGTTGCTTTTTAATATAATTGCACTAATATACTTGCTAACTTTTTTTTTTTAATTGAATTTTTTAATGCTACTTGGTTGTCATCACTAAAACTTTTGAATTTCAGTATAGCTTCAGCTTTTCTTAAAGTATTTTTATTTAAGCCTAAAAATGCCCTTCGTTGCTTGTTGCAGTATTGTTGTATTTGAGACCATAGCAGTTTGCTAAGCTTAATAGGCTTGATATAAGTGTGGTCCTATGATTGATGTCCAGTTTATCACATATATTTTGTGGAAGCAAAATAAAAAATTTATTAGGCTAGAAAAAAATTGTTTTGTACAAATAATTTTTTCTTTAGCAGCTGGTTTTGGTTTTTAGGTCCAAAAACTAGAGTTTTCAGAGGATGTTTTTTATCTAGTTTTTATCTTAATTTATTTAAATCTCATTATTTTTCTCATGGATCTTAATTCATCTTTTAACTGTTTTATGTTTATTATGGTAGCATCACTGTTATGTGATACTTAAATGAGGATATGTTGCCACACATTTTCAGAGGTTTTGTCTCTTAAGTTAATCCTAACTGTAAAAGCATATACCCTCTTCCTTGCTCAGTAAGAAACAGTCATTTCAAACAATTTAATAACATCTATTGATTAAAGTAAAATTGCCGTGTCGGGGGAGTACTTCTGTAGCTTTACAGCTGGGCTGCTGCTGGCCAGAAACAATAGATCTCCCTGAATAAGGGTTAACTGTTGAAAGCAAGCCTACCATCACCACCCAGAAACTTTCCCCTAGCTTTTAGGAGAGCATAATAAACGTGGACAGTTTAATCTTTTCTGGGTCTCGGTATCTCATTGTTCCTTCCTATCATATGGACTTCGTAAATCATATTGAATTAGTGTTCACGTACTAGAAAAGTGTGTGATTGATTCTTTTCTTCATTCTTTGTTGTTTATGGATTGTATAATTTTGAGACCTGATATAAAACAGACATATCAACCAATTGTATATAATATCCCACACTGTAGGATACTAATCTAAAGGGATAGTAGGGTGGACAAAGGCAGCTCACTGTATCCCTGAAGCTGAATGCTGTAATTATACTGATCTGCAGTGTCTGCTTTTCATTTCAGGCTTTTGAGGATCTTAGCAAACTGATGGAGAAGGTATGGCACGTGTCACGTATTCAAGTAGACTTACACTTGTTTTCTCAAGTTTTAAGCATGCTTTTCTCTGTTGAGCTGAAAGTTGACTTATCTCCGTGTCTTTCTTGATAGGCTAAGGAAATGGTGGAGTTATCCAAGTCAATAGCTAACAAGATTAAAGAAAAACAAGGTGACATCACTGAGGATGAGGTAAATTAATTTTGTTTTCAAAGTCAACCAAAATATTCCTATGCAAAGGCAAAAGCCATTGGTTTAATACATGTAATGTTAATAAAGAACACTTCATGGTTAGTTTTCTTCTTGTTTTAATTCCACATAAAGTCAAAGTGACTTACTTGTTTGATGTTAGATGTTAGCTTTTCTTTTGAGCCCTTTCATAAAAGCAAAGCTGTTATTGCCCTTGTGTAATTTTTTGTATTTTTGACCTCTGATGGTCAAAAATAAATTGTAGTAAGTCTTGCCTTCTCATTGATAGTAATTGACTTTATTGGTAGTAAACCGAATGGATTTATTCACCAAAACTGTTTTATAGTAACAAAATCAAAGACTTTTAAAAAACAGATTAATTCACTAGCTGATGTAGTAATTTATTTATTAATTTGTTCAGACTATTAGGTTCAAGTCCTATCTGCTGAGTATGGGTATAGCTAATCCAGTTACTAGGGAAACGTATGGATCTGGTACACATTACCACATGCAACTGGCGAAGCAACTGGCTGGAATCCTGCAGACACCTTTAGAGGTAAAGTACCTCATGTTTGCACCAGCATTTTCTGTGTGTTGCTGAATCTTGATGTAACTGTCTTTTGGCTGTAGTATTGTGCCACTTTTTAAATTCTCAGATTTAGCAGCACAGCTGCCTCATACTCAGTGTTTATGGAAGGAATATATATCCTCTTTCTAAATAAGAAATTTTAAAACTAAGTTAGAAGTCTTCTTTGGAGCAATGGCATCTCAACTTCTAATTTCTGAAATATCACTGATATTTAGAAAATTGTACTAGCAGTCTTTCTTCTATTTGAACAGCTCTGTGTTCATCCCTCGCTGCAGAATATTACTTTTTTAAAGAAAGAGTGAAACAACATTGAGTTTGAAAATATAAGTAGTCAGTCTTTAAACAGCTTAAAAATGGCATATTTTGCAAATAAATCACAGTTATTACATAGGTTACTCTCTCTTAGTAATATCTCATATTTTAATTTATCTGAAGCTATTTCAGAATTAAGGATTCTCACCAAAAAGTTAGATTTCATGCTGGAATTAATAAGGCTATGTGTCTACTAAAAAGCATTCTTATTACAGTATTTTTGTGACAGCTGTGTGCTACCTACAGAATGGAAAACTGAGTGTATCTGAAAAGTAAAAACAGTAAACTGATTGATAGATTTAATATATTGCAATTCCTTGTTTCTGAGATTTATTCTCTGCTTTAAAATAAAAGTAACTCGCAGTCTTTGGATATAGTATCAGTGTTTTGCATTTAAATATGATTAGAGAAAGGTAATAACAGCTTACCTCTCACGTGAGAAATACGTGGTATTGCCTTTTTTTCATTGAGGTCCATCGTTTAGTTCCTCTGTTTTACCTGCTTAATCAGCCAAATGCAAGTTGAGATACTGTGTTTACTAGATGAATACTGTTTCTCTTACCAGTCTTGTGCTTAACACAGGAGCGAGGAGGGATCATGTCACTCACAGAAGTGTACTGTCTGGTAAACCGCGCACGAGGCTTAGAGGTGAGAAATGGGTTTTATTAAATATTCTATAAAACGTACTTCAGTGATAAAGTAGTTAAAGTAAAAAGGTAAAACTGTTCCCTACCAATTGCTCAGTCTGTCTGTCTGACAGCATGAAGTGATCAACCCTTTATTAAAATTAGGGGGTTTTACCTTTTTCTTTTCACCTTCTTCCATGTAATGTTTATGTATCCTCTATAAGTTGTCATAATGCATGCTGCTTCTTATAATACCATATAAAAGGGAAAATCCATCCTTATCTGGAAAGAAAACTGAAAGGGCAGAAAATACTAAAGAATGGTGAATGATTTTGTTTTGTTTTGTTTTCACAAAATACATCAATTCTTTCTATAAACAAGGCAAGAAGGATTATTGTGGAACACATGGTAAAGGAACAAAAAGGAGCATAGAAGCCAAGAAAATAGACTGGACAATAGAAAGGAAGAAAATTAACAATATTGTGTAGCCCGGTGTATTTTATAGCTGTAGTTACTAAAACTGTTTGTTTTGGTGTTATGCTGTATCCTTGAAATACAAGCTATGAATGAATATGTTTTACTGTTTTAATAGTTGCTGTCACCAGAAGATTTAGTAAATGCTTGCAAGATGCTGGAGTCGCTGAAATTACCACTAAGGTAAGAGCTTTACGGAGGTATTTATAAAACACGGCACTTGCAAGTGCTTGGCTGACTTCATACTTTACCTGCAGTAGATTTTTTTTTTGCTTTTTTAAACAAACTCATCCTTTGCTTAAAGGATGCACCGACATCAACTCTATATTAAAATGAATTTTTAACTGTGGTTCACTTTGCTGGGAAGGCAATATTCTTTTCACTTCTATTAGAGTTTTTTCAGACTGGGAAAAGTGTTTAACTAAGACCAGACATACGCCCTGCTTTTTTTGGTCTCTTCAGATTTTGAAGATGCTTTTAATTTAAAGTTCATTTTAGAGAGCTTTTTTCTTTTATTTTCTTTTTGTAATGTGGTTATAGGTGTGGATGCATTAGCAATGTGGCCATAGGTGATGTGTGCAGGGGTTTTACTTAGTTTGACTCTTTCTTTTGATTTTAGGCTTCGGATATTTGACAGTGGAGTGATGGTGATTGAACTCCAGTCTCATAACGAAGAGGAAATGGTAGCTTCTGCTTTAGAGACAGTAAGTGTGCTTCATTTCCTTCAGCGTTCTGACCGTGCTGGGGGAATTTAAACACATTAGGTATAAAAACTTGAGGTACAGGATTTCCTTTTGAGGTTTTGAAATACAAAATATTCCACTTCCAAATCTTCTAACAGTAATACTTAAATAGCACTTTTCAACTTCAAAGTGCTGTGCAGGCAATAATCTTAGTCATTGCTTTCTCCTTAAGGAATAAATCACTTTTCCATCTCCTTTCAAACTTCATTAACCTTCAACCTTCCTCCAAATCTTTTGCGCTGTAGGATGAAATTCATGGCATGTATTAAGCACTTAATTTAACAGAAGTGGACTTCAGACACTGTACTCAGTGTGCTTGAAGGCAGGGAAAGTAGCTCTTAAATCTTGACACAGGCAGCTGTTTGGTTTGGGTTTATTTCATAAAATAGCACATTGCATGTGTAACATCTTGTACTGAGTCTGCTGCTGTGAAGAGTGTTCAGTTGGGAGTAGTATGTATAGAATTAAGCGAGCTACTTCATCAGGAAGGACAAATAGTATCCCTTTCTCAGTGTGGTAAACCTTCATGGTCTTGCTACCTCTGGGCTCTTTAAAAAAGTCCTGTTAACCCATTGCTTGATGCGTTTTCCTGTGTCTTTTTCAGTGGGATGTAATTTCATAGAGTAAAGGCTGATTTAGTGTATCCAAAGTTAAAGAGGACTTTGACTTGGGCAGGCAAGAAAAAGTAGAGCTTTCACAGGCACCTTCTCACTTGGTACATGAGGTAGACTCTTCAGTGCATGTTGCATGATTGTTATCATACAGCTTTCTCTCATCAAAAAGATTTTTAGGTAAATGCGTATGGCTGCCTAGAAGATCCCATCCTAAATGATGAAAACTAAAATGCTTAAATCTTTCAATATATGTTAATCCTTTCAGTTTAATTTCTTATATTTACAGAATAATACCTAGTCCATTTTGAGTTTTCTATGATTATTATTGTTTTCTAATTAATGTGTTGCCTTCAGTAAGAGTGCTTATTTGTTTGAAAGGAAAGGAAAAACCTTTTCTTGATAAAAAATGAGGTCAACTGCAAAAAACAACACATGGCTGATTTATTACCGAAGTGCCTTTTTTCTTTTATTTTCATAATGTGAGACTTTGACTCCATAGAAAAATCTTAGGTAGAGGCTTTGAATGAGGAAGGCGAGCCAATAGGGGAAAGGGAAGATGAGATCAGACTCGTGGCCAGAAGCATCCTGTACTTATAATGTACAGTAACATGAAACTTCTGAGAAAAAGTGAAGGAAGTCCAAGAGTTTCAGACAGGAGAGAGGTGGTTTTGAACGGGTGGTGAAGACAGAAAACGATAGGGAAGTCAAAGGAACCCAAAGTCACCCTTGATGAGAGCAGTGCTTTGGGAGGGAAAGATAATGAATCACCCGTATGCATATGAGATTGTATAGCTGACTGCCATTACTCAGATTTGATCACTTAGCTTCATAAAATCTCAAGTTAGGACTAACTTAATCTGAGTTTCTGTAAAAAGGCTACTGCTGAGAATGCTGCAGGATAGACCCCTCCCCACCCAGCTATGTGGGAAGCAGGAAATGGCAACTGCATCTGGATTTACAAGTTTGCTTGAATCTGAAGCAGTGGAGAAAAGGAAGAATTATTAATTTGTAGGGCAATAAAACACATGTTTATATGGGAGATTCAGTGCAGTAATAAGCCCTGGCTTGACATCTCATATTTTAAGCATCCACATGTCCAACCTATGCGAGAAGGTTTCATTTTAGCACCTACCAACTAGAGTGGTTGAGACAGTGAGAAGGCAGTTTTGAGTGCCAAGACTGAACTTAACCTTTTGTGTCATTTGAATGTGATGGTGGCTTTTTACTGAGCCCACTACTGTCCCATAATCTAGGGTGGAGTACCAAGATTTTTTTATTTACTGTGGGTAATGGGGATATTTTAAATGAACTCAAATTATGCACCTTCACCTGAGGTAACTTGAATTTGTAAATCAATGACCTGTCCTGAACTGCTGCCGTTTATTTCCTTGCACAGTGTTCACTGTTTGCAGAACCACTTAGTGTGGTTGGGCTGTGTCAATACCGATTGTGACCGTTGACTGCAGTCTGTGAGCTATTTTAATTTTTCCACTTATTTTGTCCCAAGGCATTGTTTAAAAAAATCTGAAAGAAAGGGTACCATGCCATTTTTTTACAGATTTAACTCTTTTTTCTGCGTTCCTCTTTTATACTTTTCCCAGGCAATTTTCCCAGGACACACAAAAGGCATTTTAAAGGGGAAATACTCACAATTATTTGTACTTTTTAAAGAGACAAACAAACTAGTTGTCTTCATAAGGGATTTGCTACCAGGTTATCACTTCACAAAGCTAAACCTGATACAGTAACTGAGAGAACTTGATTGTTCTTTTAATGCCATAGTTTGGTTATTTGTGCGTGTTTTATTTTTTTTACAGGTATCTGAAAAGGGTTCTCTCACAGCTGATGAGTTTGCTAAGCTGGTGGGGATGTCTGTTCTCTTAGCCAAAGAAAGGTAAATAGTAATTGCTGTGTTTAATAATACCTTCATTATCACGTTGTCCTCAAGTAATACAGCACATCTTCTTTTACTTTCTCCAGGCTGCTTCTTGCTGAAAAGATGGGCCATCTTTGCAGAGATGATTCAGTGGAAGGCTTGAGATTCTACCCAAATTTATTTATGACACAAAGCTAATGTAGTTTGTGTACAATTTTTTTATGTAACGGCTGAACATGAAATCAGAGGGCAGAACCCTTCCAACAACAGACTTCAGAATTTTTATTTTGTTAGTCAACTGCAACAGCGATGGACATTGCGATGCGTTACAGTTCTCAGGGATTTCACGTGCTGAATCCTCTTACATGGAACTGAAAGGAATCACCGAGCCAGAAGGATGTTAATTATCTCAAGCCGGCTCTAACTCACGTTTCAAGTTTTATTTGATGTGCTCCGTAGTTTCTCATTTCAAGAGAAGTCAGATGAAGATTCCACCCAAGTGAAAGTGGAGAGAATATCCCTGTAGTCTGCCACGAGGGTCAGCACCCAGAAGACAGGTTGCTGCATACTCCAATTTCACTTTGTTTATGTCTAGAGCAACAAAGCAGGCAGATGTATCCGCAACGATAAGAAAAGTGACTTTGGTGTGTCCTGAGGCATAAGGAACAAACCAGTGTAGAATAACCCCTTCTCCCCGAGCAATTAACAGTTTTCTGAGAGAGGATCTTGGGCTTCTTGTACTTTGAGACCGAAAGAACCTGCTGCAGGAGAGATTAACGTGTGAATCTAGAAAATACGGTGTTTGTTTTGTCATGTCTTACGCTAATGTCTCAGATAGAAGCATTGTTAGCCCAGGCTTCCTCCCTTCTCTTTCCTTGCCGTCTTCCTTCCTGTCTCATTGTGTTGCACTTTATGGTGCCCTTTCTCTGTCCTCTCTTTCCAGGCAGTGTGGAGCAGCCCCCTGTCACTCTACCAGACTCTGTGCTTTAATGTGCTTGGTCTCCATCTTGTACTTCTGATTTGTAGTAGATCATTTGTTCGTTTTTATCAGCCTATTATCTTGTTTTGGAGAAACGGTTCATTTGCTTATATCTCATGTACAAAAATTAATATGCTTTCAATATTGAAGGAAGGAAGAAGACCATCTCCCTGTGTTTAATAGTCATGAGGTATCACATTGTTTGGTATTCCAGTGTTCCCACTGAATCCAATTTGATAGTCTCAGCTTTCATAACTCCAGTGGAGTTGCTGTATTACTCAAAGAGCTGTTGTTGTGGTAATCATGGTAAGTGGATATTTACAATCCACATCACTTACATTTTTGGCATTCTGAAATGACCAGTTTTAATAAATAATGAAATTCATTCAAGGTATGGGCAAGGACAACTTATATGTAACTGCACTGTGGTTGTAATGGCCAAATTCACATTATAAAAAAGGAGAAAAAGGCTTTTAATTGCCTGAAAATATCTTCAGGAATATTTTGGTATTGCCATAGCTTCAACAAGGATTAAGAGCCTATCAATAGTCAGCTCAGTGCAGAGATCCCTACAGTGATGATATTTTTGGTTGTTCATTTAGATCCAGAGAATTTTGTCCTCTTATCCTTGTCACAATCAAACTTTTATGCTGTGCTTTCTTTGGGGCAGTTTTCCTCTGTTTCACGAAGGTGCTAAAACTAATGTGTTTGACACAGCTGAAGGTTCCACCCTGTTCTCACTGTGTTACCCATCTAGTACCAGCTCCTCAGGAGCCTCACAACTTGCTGCTTTTCTTCATCCTCCCCACACCCCAAAGAAGAGATGGATGCGAGGTACGCCAAGCATCACGCATCTCAGGAGGGACTGAAAAGAGAGAAATTCAGAAGCAAAAAGTGTTTTTTGACAACTGTTTCTTTCGTCCAATACCCAAACCTGTCAAGGGAGACCAGGGGTTTATGGGCCTGAACCTCTCCCCACAAGGGGGCATGTCTTCTGCAGAAAGAACAAAATCGGAAAGCAGATGCCAAGCGTCAACTCCCAGCCTCCGTTGCTCCGACCCTGAGCATTTCATTATCTTAATTAAGCAATAACAATACAGCCTATTTCGAATGACGGTACATTCTTGAGCTTTTCTTTCCCAAAATTTTTCTCTTTTTTTTTTTTTTTTTTTTTTTTTTTTTTTTTTTTTTTTTTTTTTTTTTTTTTTTTTTTTTTGGTTTGTTTTGGTTTTTTTCTACAGGGAAGAAATCTATAGGGTAAAGTGTAATAGCTGGTTTAGAATGTCAACATACACATGAGAAAACGACTACTAGAAAGTGATAAAAAATTAAAAGATTTTCTAATTAGACTGTTCTGTCGTCGTTTTTTCTTCCTAAATGTTTTTGGGCAGCTTTAAAATCTTTACACATCAAAACCTTTCGGTTCCGTGGGGCAGGGTTTTGAAACGCATCGTATTTTCGCTGTCTCATTTTGTACTTAAAAGGATACAAGATAGTTTTGATCAAAAATTAAACGGCAGAATGAAGTGTAATTAGAATGCCCTAGTTCTGTTGCCGAGTAGCCTGTGCCCCATCCCAGCCAGACTCGCAGAGGCACAGGTGGCTGCACAAGCACCAGTTTCACGAGGGAGCACGTCCGAGCCCCAGCCAGGGATGCATCCTGCATGTCCTGTGCCGGCCTGGGAAGGGTGTTTGACCCACTGGAGTGTGTTTTTCCACCTGAAAGACAACAGAAAACGTGCATCTGATCCCACAGCGAGAGCCAGCTGTGGGGAGAACAGACGGAGCGAGGTGTATAGTGGTGAGCATTGCTGCCTTCCAAGTAGTTGACCCGGGAAAGGGCGACAAAGATGGTGAGGGGTCTGGAGAATAAGTCTTATGAGGAGAGGCTGAGGGAACTGGGGTTATTCAGCCTGGAGAAGAGGAGGCTGAGGAGAGACCTTATTGCTCTCTACAACTACCTGAAAGGAGGGTGTAGAGAGGTGGGGGTCGGTCTCTTTTCTCAAGTCACAGGCGACAGGACAAGAGGAAATGGCCTCAAGTTGCACCAGGGGAGGTTCAGGCTGGATATTACGAAAATTTTTTTCACTGAAAGGGTTATCAGGCATTGGAATGGGCTGCCCAGGGAGGTGGTTGAGGCACCATCCCTGGAGGTGTTCAAAAGACGGGTTGATGTGGTGCTGGGAGGTATGGTTTAGTGATGGTGCTCCTTGTTTGTTGTGTGGGTGTCTATTTTTGTCAGTTAGGTTGACGGTTGGACAAGATGATCTTTAAGGTCCCTTCCAACCTAGAAGATTCTGTGATTCTGTGATTCTGTTCACAGGTGTGCGGTGTCAGGGGAGCACCTCACGCTGTCAAAACTCCCGTTGCCCGCTCCTGTTTCCTTTGGTTCTGCCAGCAAAAAAAAATAAATCCATTGGCTGTATTGAAGCAGGATTATGGGAGAGAGGAAAATGTAGTAGCTGCCGTTTTCACAGATCATTCTGGTTTAATACAGAAGGTGCCTGCGTGAACCTTTCATGTTTTGATTACTTCTAGAATATTTGTATCACGATACAAGAACATTATCTCATTTTGCCAGGGCTGCCCAATTATACAGTCCTTTGAACGGGGGGTTGTAACAGAGGGCTGCTCAAAAAGAGCTTGGTTTCTTTATGGAGCAATCTTAAATGGCGATTACGTTTTTGGTTTCAAAAGATTGGCCTTTTTATACCTCTGACAGGAAAAAACTGCTCAGGAATCTGTACATCTTTTCCATTTCTTCTTTGTTTTCAGGAAAATTATATTCAGCCTATGGAAACATGGATCTAATGTGAACCATACTGCTGAAATGCAAACGTTTTTCTCTCTGAAAGACAGATTTGTATGTATGTGCACTTGGAACATCTCCAGAAGTGTATCTTTAATAATCACTACGGGTTGCATATTGATTAGTTAAACTCTACAACGCTCAGTTTTTCTAACAGGACTTTCACAGTTTGGCCAAAGGGCCCAACTCTGCTACTTGTAAAATTAGTGGAAATATTGTCACCAGTTTCATGAGGACAGCAGTGGGAGACAGCGTGAGCCTGTTGCTGACAGTGGAAGTTCCTTCTTCTTCAAGCCTGGGAGGCTCATTTGCAACTGGCCAGTTCTTTCAAAGTATTTACACACTGAAAAGGCAGGAATGGCTGATTCACAATTATTTGTGGATTTGCTATGAAATCATTGTTTTCTTTGCGAGGAATCCCCTTTCCAATGTTGTTTTCTGAGCTAGATTCACAAATCTGACAGTTACGTCTCCTCGTAGTTCCCATTTCATCCTAATTCTTGGCCATTTAGACATTCACATGAAATACAAGAGACTCTAGTTCCAGGTTGTCTTCTGCTGGGAAGGCTTCAGCTATCATTTTGTTATCCCACGAATGAGCTGCAAGTACTCACGCTGACAGGATATTCTGGGCTCGTCTGTTGGCAATGTTCGTCTTTATTTTAAGGAAATACTTAAATACTTTTTGGAGCAGGGGCCCAAGCGTCATGCCTCCCAGGTAGCTGTCCTGACCAGCAGAATCACAGAATCTTCATGGTTGGAAGCGACCTTTGAGATCATCGTGTCCAACCATACACACACACACAAAAAAAACCCCACCAAAGAACCCCCCAAAAAACCCCACACACAACAAAACACCCAACCCAACCATCTCAGGCACTAGAGCATGCCCTGAAGTGCCACGTCTACACGTTTCTTAAATACCTCCAGGGATGGTGACTCCACCACCTCCCTGGGCAGGCTGTTCCAGTGCCTGACCACTCTCTCAGTAAAGTAATTCTTCCTAATATCTAATCTAAACCTCCCCTGCCACAGCTTCAGACCATTTCCTCTGGTCTGGTCATTATTCCTTTGGGAGAAGAGGCCAACACCCACCTCTCCACAACCTCCTTTCAGGGAGTTGTAGAGAGCAATGAGGTCTCCCCTCAGCCTCCTCCAAACTAAACATGCCCAGTTCCCTCAGCCTCTTCTCGTATGACTTGTTCTCTAGACCCCTCACCAGCTTGGTGGCTCTCCTCTGGACACTTAAGGACGCTGGCAGGTTTAAGAGTCATTTTTCTTTGTGTGTTAAAGTAGTAGTATAATATTGAAAACCCACCAAACACAAGAACTTCAGGAGTGAGTGAGGAAACCTGTTTCAGAAAACCCCATGGCCTGCTAGTTAGCACACGCTCGTGAGACGTAGCCCTGACAGCAACCACCTGCTTCATGTCCCTGCTCCAGACCACAGACCAGGATATTGGGTCTCCTGCTTTCCTATTGGACTGTGAATGCTGAGATTTCCAATTCCCGCTAATGAAACAGTGCCTTAAACTCTGCTCTGCCCAACGGTGGGCAGCAAATCCAAGGTGAAAGGGGGTGGTCCTGCTGGAATAGTCACAGCGCTCCTGTGAATCCTGCTCTAAGCGTAAAACTCCAATTAATTAGGCATTTTGCATTGTTTTGTTCAATTCAAAGTATTTTATGTACTTGGAGGGTTTCAGTTACTTAGATGATGACGAATTATCAACAAAAGTGATCTCAGGAAGTAAGTAAAGGAAGGGATTGATATAATCTAAATGCTGTATTTTTGAAGCCAGCAGTCAAACAAATCAGTGCTCTCGTGTCCCTTGCCTCATCCATGCAGAACACTCCCAGAAACTCAAAGACAGAACTTGTTATTTTCTTTTAACCAGAAAGCTTGCAGGAGGACACACGCTGTGTGAAGTCCCCTCTTTTTGCAAAGAACAATGAAGGCAGCACAGCTGCACAGCACAAATCTGTGTCTGTTGCTGGTACGGCGTTTGTACTCTGGTTCTCAAAAGATTCACTTCATGTAGGTAGAATTCTTTTCAAACGTTGCCTAAATATAACAGCATTTGCCATGGTATATGAGAAACGCCTGTTTTTTCAGCTGGACTCAGCAGTGGGATGCGCGTGTGGCACCATTCCCCCGAGCTTCACTTCACAGCGGATGGAGAATTTGAGGTGTGTCCTTAAATTGCAAAGAGACTCTGGTTTGATCCACCTGTGAAGTCAGAATGGCAAAACTCCCACCGACTCCAACCCCCAACCTTTGTTATAATTACCAAACGTTAACCAGTTAACAGTTCTGAAAATGGGTGTATCGGGAATGGCTGAGCTCTGACGGGCAAGAAGGAAGAGCTTAAAGGACATTCTGGAATAAGATCACAAGATGTTTTGGTCTCTTCAGTAGAAATACCGAAGTAGGCACAACTGTTGCAAAGTGACTATTTCTGATCTTTCTGCATTCCTATTGTTTTTTCCACAGTGTTTTGGGAAAGCCCGAGATAAGGATAATTTTTTTTCCCGCTGGGACTCTATTTATGGTTACAAGGCCAGAAGAGACTATTACGACCATTTCACTTGACCTCTCGGGTAACAGAAGCTGTAGGACTTCCCTTAGTTGATTTGCGTTTGAAGTAGAACA